CCTTATCTTATACCATACACAAAAATCAACTCAAAATGAGTTGAATGGATTAATGTAAAACCTGAAACTGTAAAACTACTAGATGAAAGCAGAGGAAATCCTCCATGACGTTGGTTGGGACAATAATTTTTTTGGATAATGCCCAAACCATAGGCACATTCTTGGCAAACTAAGATATTACTGCACAGCAAAGGAAAAATTCAACAGAGTGATTGAATGGGAGAATATATTTGCAAACATTCATCTATAAGATGTAAGGCACTCAAACAACTCAACAGTAAGTAATCAAATAACGTGATTAAAAAATGGGAAGAGGAGCTGGACAGGCATTTCTCAAAAGAAGACATACAAATGGCCAACAGGTATATGATAAAATGTTCAAGATCACCAATCATTAGGGGAATGCAAATTAAAACCATGATGAGATGTCACCCCAAATCTGTTGAGGTGGCACCTATCAAACAGATGAAAGATAACAAGTGCCAGGAAGGATGCAGAAAAAAGGGAACCCATGCACACTTTTCCATGAAAAGGAATGTGAAGGAGTATAGCTGTTACAGTAATAGTACTAAGGTCCTCAAGGAATAACAGAACTGCCATTTGATCCAACATTCCTACCCTTGGGTGCTGGAAGCTGCTATATTGATTATGCCCAAAGCATGCTGTAAGCAGTGCAGGCTGCAAAGAGTTAAATCCCTCAATTGGCTTACTTTAAGAAGTGAGTCTGACTGAAGCTACGTGACTCACAGAAGCATCTCATGAGAATATGGTAGCATGCAGGTTAATATGACCTCCTCGCTAATGGCCATGGCTGAAACCAGAGTAATGGCCTATGAAACTGTGGGGCTAACATGAGATAATGTGTAGCTGAGGTCGGAGTAATTCAGACCCAAATTCCATTCTCACAATTAGTACCTTCCTAACTAGAAGGAAATGTTCTAATTACAACCATATATTTTATCTGTCTTGTTTCTGATTTGTTTTTTTGGTTTTTGGTACTGGGGATCAAATGCAGGACCTTGCACTTTCGAGGCAGGGGGTGCAACCACTAAGCTAAATCCCCAGCCCTTGTTTCTAATTTGAAAATGCTTCGTCTCTTCTCTTTAAAGCCTTGACTGCATTAGTTTCCACAGAAACTGCACAAACTGCACATCTGTACACATAGCTCACATTTACCCCAAATGATGAACAATAAAAAATCAGTGGATGAGACTGATTGGGTTTTGCTGGGGATCTAGCATCGACTGCCCCAGTTCCTGCTTTCTGCTTCTCTTAGTTCTGTCATTCATTTTTTTTCTTTAGCCTTTTGTTGAACACTGAGCAGGAGACTAGAACCTAACTGCAGGGGTCTCTAGCAATTGGTGCCCATCGTAGAGGCTTGAACAACAAATGATTGCTTACTCAGTGAGGCTACTCAGAATAAAAAGGAATAGGTGACCAAGGGGCTTGCACCATCTGAAGGATGTCCACAAGGAAGCATAAAACCTGGAGATAAGAGGCAGGTGCTTCAGATGCGAGTAAATAATTAACTGGGTTATCTATCATAGAAACTGCTATCCTTTCAGGAGTGGAAATTACAAGAATCAAAGAGGGACTACAGCAAATTCATGTATCTGCCGTCATTGAGAAATGAGCTGTTCTGGTTCATGAATGTAGAACAGAACCATGAGCCCAGTAATAAGCAAGATTTATCTCCATAGTCGAAATACTGTAGTTATTTTACTAATTCCGCTTCAAAAGTTTTCACACTAAGAAGAAAGCCTTTCAAACTTCCTTGAGAAAATATTAACACGTGGGTGAAGACTCAGGGTGGCATTGATCTGGTTCTATTATCTCCTTCTCTCACCAGAAGTGGCACCAAGAAAGTGATGGGGTGTTGGCTGGAGCCTCTGCGTCCTGGGCAGAGCTGTGGCATTGGTCATGCACATGTTGAAGCCCTAAAACCCCCAACGTGACTGGATGTGTAGACAGGAAGTTAAAACCTGCAAAAAGAGAATTAAATCCTACAAGGGCTGTGGAACTCTAGCTCCTTCCTCTCCCTCTTTTGCTTCCTGTCCACAGGGTGAGTGGTTTAGCTTTACCCCAGGCCACAGGCCCAAGCAGTGGGGTCAACTAAACCTTGAGAACTGTGAGGTCTAAGTTAATTACGACCTCAGATATTTAGTTAAGAGTAATGAAAAGCTGATCAACATAGATCTGTTTGGCAAAAACAATTTCTCTAGCCAGGGATTTAGCTCAGTGGTTCCAGCACCTGCCTTGCAAGTGCAAGGTCCCGAGTTTGATCCCCAGTACCAAAAAAAAAAATGTTCTCTTGGTTTCTGGGTAGGAATTTTATTTTCTTTCTTCCTGTTAAGACAGAATTTTGTTATGTAGTCCAGGGCAGTCTTGATGTAGACCCAAAATTGCAATCCTCTTTTTTTTGCCTTTCTGCATGGGGTAGGCTCTTCAGTATAACACTGAAAAAAAGAAAAACAAAACAAAAAACAGTGAGAGCAGGTGTCCTGCCTACATTACAGACCTCACAGGGAAAGTTCGAAGGCAGCATAATGCCCCCAAAGATGTCCACATGGAATTAAGGCTGTGTGTCAGCATATTTTAAAAGAAGGGGCTGGGGGTGTCGCTCAGTGGTAGAGCATGTGGTTAGTTAGCATGCATGAGACCCTGGATTCAATCCCAGTGCTACCAAAAAATAAAAATCTAGGGCTGGGGACTTAGCTCAGTGGTCCCGCCGCCTGCCTTGCAAGCACAAGGTCCTGAGTTCGATCCTTGGTATCAAAAAAAAAAAAAAAGTCGTTATCCTAGATTATCTGGTAGGCCCAGTATCATCACCAGAGCCCTTAAGAGTTCAGTAAGGGGAAGCCTGGTGTGGTGCATGCCTGTGATCCCAGCACTTGAGAGGCCAAGGCAGAAGGATCACAGGTTTGACCCCAGCCTGGGCAACTCAGCAAGACCTGGCCTCAAAAAAATAAAATAAAAACTAAAAAGTGGCTGAAGATATAGGTCAGTGGCAAGGCCCTGAGTACAATGGCCATAACCCCCCAGCCCATGAATATCCGTGGAAAAGGAAGGTGAGAGATTAATCAAGAAATTGAGAAGCCTAAAGGGGAAGACAATGGATTCTCCCAGGAGCCTCGAGACAGAAACTCCAAAATGATACATGTATTGATTTGAACCACTAGGCTTGTGACAGTAGAGAACTAATACAGAAAACCTCAGTTGTTTCTACACACAATATGATTTTCTTGTCAAGTTTTTGTGGCATGTTGCTTTTTTTGCTCTTGTATTCTTCTAGTTTATTTCTGAAATGTTTTTAACTCTGATATTTCCTCTAATCTCTGTCAACTCTCATTTTACATCCTTCTGTTGCTTGCCTATCTCACTTATAGCTTGTTTTTGATGCTGTTGTTTTAGCTTCTAACATTTCTTGAATTCCTTTAGCTTTCTTTTCAGTACTGGGGATTGAATACAGGGCCTTCACATTGAACTTCATCCTCAGCCCCTTTTAATTTTAATTTTTTTTGGTACTAGGGATCAAACTTGGGTCCTTGCGCTTGCAAGGCAGTCAGCAGAACCACTGAGCTAAATCCCCGGCCCCCTTTTAATTTTTCGAGACACAGTTTAAGTTGCTAAGTTGGTCAGGCTGGGCTTGAACTTTTGAACCTCTAGCTTCACTTAAGAATATTTTAAAATACTGGGTTGGGCCAGGCATGTCAGAGTGTACCTGTAGTCTACCTCCTGCTAAGGCAGGAGGATCATTTGAGCCCAGGAGTTTCAGACCAGCCCGGGCAGTGAGACCTCATTTTTAAAAAAAGGTTTTTATTTATTTTTTTTAAAAGGTTTTTATTTTATTTTTTTTGAGTCAGTGTCTTGCCATGTAGTACAGGCTAGATTGACTCAAACTCACAGTGATCCTCCTGCCTCAGACGCCCAAGTACAATTAAGGCATGCACCACCACGCCCAACGAGCCCTTATTTAAAGCAAACAAAATCACTCAACTATTAGATTATGTTTTCCTCGACTTCATCACTACATTTGTGGAACATCTTCCCTTTCTGTGGGTGTGCTACTCAGGCAGATCATTGGCTTCTTTGTCACAGCACAGTGTAAGAGGCAGTCATGTCTGGGAGGGATTTTCCTGCCCCTTTTCCAAGCTTTTCATGGGAGTGAGGGCACTCAGGACAGCTGCTGAGCCTCACGGGCTTGCTCCTCTGTAGTCACTGCAGAGCGACGGCCACCTGTTCCGGCTGTCACTACCTCACCAGTGCTTTCTTCGGTCTCACCTGGTGCCCTCCGCTGTCAGCATCTGGGCCCCTCCTCCCCCGAGGGAACGAGCTGCTCCCAGCAGTGTCCCCACCACAGCCCCATGTCCTCTTACCAGCCACTTCGGGTCACCTCAGGACCATGCTGCCCTGGGGCCCTCACGCCTTCTGTGGGCCCATTCTCCTGGAGGCCACGGGGATGCTGGCAGCCCTCTCCCAGTTCTGACTGTGACTTTCTCATTTTGTTTTGTCTTTGTTGTTTTTGAGACAGGGTCTCACTGTGGAGCCCATACTGGCCTTAAACTCGTGGTGGTGACCCTGCCAGTCCCGAGTGCTGGGATTACAGGTGTGAACCGGCATGCCTGGTGTACTTTAAATTTAAAAAGAACAGAGGGCTAGGGGAATGTAGCTTAGTTGTGGAAAGCTTGCCTAGCATGTATGAGGGCCTGGGTTCCATTCACAGCACCACCAAAAAAAAACCTGTGAATAAAATTATTTTCAAGTCTATAAAAAACCACGTCTCTAGTGTTATTAACTGCTGACAAACTTTGGAAGTGATAAGGTAGCATACAATTAAAATGTCTCCAATCATAAAGCTAGTTAGATATGTCTTTTGGAATTATAGAGTTAAACCATACCACTAATATTCAAAGTAAGAAAAAATGGTGGTTCTCCAAAATTTAAAAACAAACATGTCCACAAACATTCTAAATATTCAACACACATACATAAAGCAGAAATCCAGCTTTAAGACACTGATTTTTATTATGTTTAGTCTACCATGTTTGGCAATATAAATATACTCATTGGAAAAACAATGCTTAAATAAGAATTAAGTTCATGGAAGTTTATAAAACACAGCCAAGGTACTCTGACTTGTAATCTTAAATATCTCTACTTTTCAAGCATGGTCAGACACTTAAAAATATTTTCACCCTAATTTTAGCATATAAAACTAGCATTTTACTGAGTTTTCTATTATAAAAATTAATATAGTAATTCTCAAAATACTGATAAAAACCTATTTTATCAAATTTGTAACCACATTACAACAACTTATTTCTTTTCTTTGAGAATACATGTTCGAAAGGCACATTTTAATTACAAGTATTTACCTAAGGATAATAGTTTGAGTTTTGAACTTCCAGTCAATTTTCCATTATCTCTACACTGAGCTAATGAGAAAGTTGGAGGAGGGAGGAGAACATGGATTTCCAGCGACGCCCTGAGAGCAGCAGTCTGGGATCCATCCCACTTAGGTGTGAGGCAGAGCGACTGCAGATCTGTCCTACATCCGGGGTTAGTTCCCTGGATGTTCATTTTACACAAAATAACTCATTAAAAACAAAAAATCACGATAGTAAACTTGTGAGACAAAAGGCCCAACTGCCTGCCCAGTTTAGTCTGAGTATTGATGGTACTAGTTTTGAAACTGAAGAAGAGATAAAAGTTTTCTAGGGGGATTCAACATGGCTGAATGGAGGAATCATGTTGGACTTACTCAGAGAGAAATCAACTAAAAAAAAGGTTATATTCTCCAGAATCTCTTCATATTTGGCTCATTTCAGTTTAATAATTCATGACTTCACAGTGCTACGAATTCCAAGAATGTGAAACATACTGGTATTCAAAATAAAGTACAAAATTAAATTTCAAAATCAAATAGAAAAGATTTTATGGTTATCTGTCTTGTTTCCCTTCAAATTGGGCTGATAATCTAAAACTAATAATTTTGAGTACTATTATTATTTTTAAACACTTACAAACTAAGAACCCCAAAATGAAATCTAATATACACTTTGAGGTATGACTTACTTTTCAGTGAAGTTTATACTAACTGAAGTACTAAATGGAACAAGATCAGTACTTTGAAGTACTAACTGCTCAATTACTTGATCCTATACAAGAAACAAAAAGAAATATGAGGCTTTTTTTGAGTTTGAAAATATTGAAGATCTACCTTAATTTTACATTATTCCCCTCATGAAAATGAGTGTTTCCTTTTTTTTTTAAGAAAAAGAAGAATATCTTTAGATTTTTTTCTTACTGAAACAAAATAATAAAAAATATATTCTAAAACAGAAAAAAAAGAAGTGGCCATCTGTTACTTAACCAAAATATAATTTTCAGGTCCCCACTAATGACCACTGTAGGGGCTCTTATTCCAGTTCTAAAGTAGCAGCTTTTGAAATTAAGGCAACCTTGCTTTATTCTTTCCTGTTGTTCTACTGACTCTCCTGTTGGAGGAGGAGAGTAATTTCAGACCTAGTCACTCTCAAAGGCCTTTTGTAATGCAATGTAAAAAGAGTCAAAATGAACATTTTCCTCAATCTTCAAAAAAATATATAAAATCTTACTGTTTTCAAAGTCAACAAATATCTTTTTTTGGGGGGTGGGGTACCAGGGATCAAACTCAGGTCCTTGTGCTTGCGAGGTAGGCGGCAGAACCACTGAGCTAAATCCCTGGCCCAGAGCTAACAAATATCTTATTTTTTCACTTGGAATGCTAGAGTAATTTCAGTCAGTTCTAGTATGGATACACTATGAGGTTACCTTTAAACTAACAACAACAAACTATACAATTTTCTACAAAAATACAATATAGGAGATTCATCATTTCTTCCCCGAAATGGAATTTAATATTTGGATAAAAAGCTGTAAACTTTTGATTACATTCAAAAGAAAACTTTTTTAAAAGACTTAAATGACTTCAGGTTTTGACAACTGCAGCACATGTAAAATGCTGTAATGTTTTAACAACACAGCAATGCCCAACAGCTGTTTCTCTTACATCTACTACCAGGAGGTGAAAAAGGGTTTCCTGCAGTGGAAAGTCTGGGTGAACGTGCTGGTCAGGTGGACGATGCGGCCCTGGCCGCGCCCTGGACTGCGCTCCACGTTCACGCACGGCATCTGCACCAGCTGCACGGGGCTCTTCCCGTCTCGCAGTGCCTGAGTAAGGTTTAAGATCTGCAGGAGGAAGAGAGTTCTATTAACTTAAAGACAAAAAGCTTCACTTCACTAACATTATTTTAACCATTTAATCACTGTAGTTTTTATTTCATCCACTAACCCGCAACAGACTTCAATGAGAAACTGCTATAAATAAGTATTATATGGGCGTAGATATGCTTACACACACACAAATGCATGAAATTAAGAGTTAAATAACTTTAACAATTGGTTACTTCAAAATACTCTAGAATGCCCGTGTCCAGGAGCAATGAAATCAGAAACTGAATAAGGTGAAAGGTTCTGCACATTCCATTTGACAGAGAAACAAATACTTGTTTAAAATTTGCCTTATCTACTTGAGGTGGGAGACTAGGGCATGGCCAGCCAGCTGGGTGTGACCTGTTAGTCTCAGACATCCAGGGCTCATGTGTGCAAGCCCAGCACCTAGGACCGATCAGAGAATGCCATCTTCAATTCCTCTGGGGGGAATCAAACAGGGTTTCAATAGGGTGCCCTAGCCCTGATGTAAGAATTGGGGATATGAAGGATGGTCACCATTAGCCTTGTGGTGGCTGTAAGCCGTACTTCTTTGCCTACCTTTAGTAGGCCCACACTCACTCTGCCAACCGTATTTCTTTTCCCACCTTTAATACCATTAATCAACATAAAACCTCACGACCTTTTGCATGTTTCCTGTCCAATTCTTTGTTCAGGATAAAAGCCTGAAAAAGACCCCTAGGAAGAGCACAACAGCCCAGACCTGGCAACACATTCAACAAGTGAATTTCCTGCGCATCTACTACATGCTGAGCTTTGCTCTAAGTGCTGGGGATGTGACTATTACTCATGCAAACAAAACTCCTGCTCTCATTTTAGCAGAGAAGGGGCCAATAAACATGAGTAAGTGAATAATATCATACAAGGGAAGGTGAAAGTGCTATGGGAAACCAGAGGGTAGCTTAGAGAATTTGGGAGATATCCATTTTTTAAAAAATTTCCCAACTATTATTTTATTGGAGGCTGTTTCTCACCTTAGATCTGTTGTTTGTTTTATAAAATTTAGCGCTATATCTATTTGAAGATTTGAGGTATCCATATTAAAGAAAATTGAATTGAGCAGTTTATTCTTTAATAGAAAAAATAAAATCAGAAAAAGTAAAATTTATGAATTTCAGTGTTTAAAGACATAATTTCTACTTTTGAGCATACAACGCACAGCTCACAGCCTATTTTTGTTCAGATAAAAGTTTGATAATATTTTCCTTGCATATTGGGAAAAACTTGACTATGTACATTAGATATACAGATATCTCCTTCAGCTATTTAAAAATATCTATCATACACATGCTATGTATCTTACTGCTTCTAATAAAGACGAATTAATAGTTATAAGCATAAAAGTTTCAATATACAGCCATACTAATACATAAACCTTGTAATACTTGAACTAGATGGTTTAGATTCTAGAAGATTTAGATTGGAGTATTTAACATATCAAGGAAATAAATTTTTAGTAGTAACAAGAGTTACAGATTATGTTTTAGGGTGCCTTTTCATTCTCTTAAAATATTCTAGGTTGGCTATATTTGGATAACAAGAAAAAAAGAATGCAGGAAATTTAAGTTTTAAGCACTATTTGTACCATGAAAGTAAAATATAGTCCAACATGGCTAAAGAGTTAAATGTTCTGGTTAGTTTCCTCTTTGGATTTTAAAAATCCTAGTCTAAAAAAGTTAGTCTAAATACATCATTTTTTAGTAACACCTAGTATTTTTCTGACTAAAAACAATACATGATCGTCAGAGAGAATTTGGAAGACAGAAACATACAAGAAATGAAAGTTACCATACAAGATCATCAATTTTCAAATAATTATATAATCACAAAACTTATTCAATCCTAAACTATCCTATTACTACCTCTTTGCGAGTTCAGAAGAAACATTTCCTGAGCACTTCCATGTTAGGGAGGAGAGGGGACTGAATAGGAGTGGAAGCCATGTGAGCCCTGAAAGAACTCACCTTCTGGAAACAAAGGCCACAGGAACAAGTGACCACAAGGCAGTATGACAAACACTGTCACTGCAGGGGAACTGTGTTCGGACTTTAAAATCCCATCCCACTGGGATATAGCTCAGTAGCACCGCGCCTGCCTTGCAAGCGCAAGGTCCTGAGTTTGATCCCAGGTACCAAAACAAAAAAAAAAACAAAACCAAGACCAAAATCCCATCCCCCATATACCACCCACTTCCTTCACTCTGCCTATCATATGTTTAAACCAGAGATTATTTTTAAAATGGACTGAGCAGACACTGCAAGCAGGAGGGGGCACCAATGCCACATTCAACAGTTTGATGAGGCGTCTCAGGTGTGACCGAGGCAGATGGCACCAACATGTAGACTTCTTTGCACAGATGGCTTTCCTTCAGATTAGCTGTACTGTACACCTAACACTGTATAGTGTATATCCTAATGTATGGTCAATTTTATGCTATTTTTCAATGGATGTTTACTCAATATGCTGATTTTAAAACCACATTTCTGAGTCAAATGCAACACCAGTATGTTCCTTGGGTGAGCTGTGAAACCAGAACTCCCTGGGAGGCAGGAAGAGGGGAGGGGACCAAGCTGGAGCTTGGAGGGAAAACTGTTCTCTGGGAGAAGAGGGAAGGGCATCCGCGAGGCAGAGCAGTGCATCAGGCTCTGCTGGGAATCCAGGAGCAGAGCATGTAGCACTGCTCTAGGGGAAGCAGCAGGGTGGAGACGACAACCAGGGACATGGGCTGGAGCCACTTTCGAGGGGCCTGGCTGTCTGAGCTGGAAGCCTGGCCCTGAGCCTGTGCACCAGGACAAGTCACAGGAGCCTTACAGAGGACAGGATGCAGTCAGACATGGTTAGAGAGAGTTGGGTTGTGAAGTAAGTGCCGCTTAGAACATGTCATTCAATCCAGAGAGGAGATGGTAGGGGTCCTAGGCAGAGGCAAACCCCAGATGTTACAGATTTGTCAACCTTCACTTCACAGGGGTAACACGTCACTCACACCTTTGGAGCCGAGGTTCTTCCACATAAAATGCAGATAATTGCATTGTGAGGGTGAACAATAACAAACATAAAAATATCCAAGAAACGGTCAAATAATCAGGAAGTACTAAAGGGTCACTTTGGTTTTCTTTCACACCATTACTGAATCTGCAAATGAGCTTCTGGTTTATTAATTACTAAATTCAAGTTCACTGTGTTTTTGTAAGAATTTTATTATTTCTTTCTTTCTTTTTTTTTTTTTTGGTACCAGGGATCAAACTCAGGACCTTGCGCTTGCAAGGCAGGCACCATAACTAACCACTGAGCTAAATCCCCGGCCCAGAATTTTATTATTTCTACCTTTTTTCAGATCATGTGGAAAATCCTTAGTATTTTCCATTAAGTAAATATAGTCTGAGGGCTAATGTTCCAAACAGGCACAAGTAGAACATAAAATGAGTTTTACTGAACTTGATTATGACCTGATACTTAAAAAAATTCAAAATGTACTTTAACTTTCATGAATACAACCAGTCCTAAATTCTGAGAAATACCTTTTTTCTAGTCCAGTATGGGTCTTTATGTAAGAATTAGGGCAAGTCACTGATTATGTGTGTAAAACTGGAGACTTGCTACAAACTAGGGCAACAGGGTTGGCCATACACAGCACAAATCAGTAAGTTAATAAAACTGGAGGGGAGAAGGATTTAGAGGATATTTGTAAGTTATAGAAATAATATAAGTATTTTGATCTACGGAAATGGCTGAAATAATGATTCTGTTGTTTGAAATATATAGACAATGTTTTTTTTTTTAAACTTGTTATAAGTTGTGACAATTTGTTTATATATTTATTTACTTTTTATGATACTGGGGATTGAACCCAGGGCTGTGTGCATGCTAGGCAAGTGCTCTACCACTGAGCTACATTCCCAGCCCCCAATTCCTTTTAGAATGAAGAATACTTGATTTAAAAAATCAAAAAAAAAAAAAACCCCACCACAAACAACAAAAGAGCTAAAACTAGAGAGCTACATAAGCATGTACATGCAGGGTATATTATTCTTTTTGGCTACCAGAAAGTTCAAACTCAAATTAAATTAAAAAAAATAAAATATATAACCAAGATACCATCATTTTATTTCTTTTTCTCCCCAGATATTGACCCTGTCAATTTACATTTTATTACATGAATTTTTATAACCCCTAACTCCTCTGTGAATGACACAGGATATGAACAAATGAACTGAAGGTAGCAGACCCCCACGGGTGTGCTTTTGTGACTGGGCTAAAGGTCTCCAGGCCACCATTTCTTCATTTCAACTTAAGTTCCACATGTGCTAACTTTAATCCACAAGTAAAGCTTACAAAATTATTCACGGCATTTATTCATTTAAATAACATCCCTATGATTATGATAGGTGTGCATGTGTATAAGGGGTCGGGTTGGTTCTATCTGCAGTCTCAGGCACCTGCTTGGGTCTGTCCTAGAGGACAAAGGAGGCCACTAGTTACCTTTAGGGATGAGAATCAGAAATGAGGCATGTTGATACATCAGGTGAACCTGGGGCATAATTCTCTTTGCCCGAGACTGTAGCTCAGACACATCCTGGGGTGGTAACGCTCTCGGCATGGGTCATGGGACCCGTCCTTCCCGTGGGGGTCACCAGTCTCTGCACTGGGCTCCTGCCCTTCTCTCCACTGAGCAAATCTGCACCTGTTCTCCGGCCTCGCCTCCTGCAGCTGTTCTTAACCTCTTGGGATTAGGGATTTCTTTGCTGAGATTCAAATCCTACTTCCCCAACAACCAAAATGTACACACAGAATTTTACATATAACCTCAGGGAGTGTATGCAGGAAACCAAGGACAAAGTCTTCTTTAATGCTTTTAACTGTTCTAGTCCCCTGTGTGAAATCCATATTCCAGTTCTTATGGCCCTGTAGACTCTGGCTCTATCCTACTAGTTCTGCTAGTAAATATTTGATGAATCACTGAACCTCTAATTTAATTCTATATAACTTGTTAAAGTTATATAATACAATAATCAGGGCAAAGGCTAGACATATCTTCTTTGCTCCAAGTATTATAGCAAGCAGCTACTTAAATGAAATGTGCATTTTAGGAAGAGAATGCTAATTTGGAAATCAGGAAAAGCCAATGTTTACAGTGTGATTTGTTTTCCTTTCAAGTCTTGCTTTTGAAATGGAGTGGAAGATACAGAGGTTGCAGGTGAGCCAGCTCAGCTTCAGGACCACAGCAACAGACCTAACACCATGTGTCTCTCATTAGAGGTGAGGAGGGGCGGGGTCAGGGGCAGAGTTAAATTATAGTTCCCTCCCACCCAGTGAGTGCTCAATCCTGGTGACACAGTTATGTACGAACTGCTCTAGTGAAGCCAAATAAGTTCTGCAAGGAGAATGATCTATTGGCAACAGAACTTGGTACTGAACTGTCACAGCAAGTGGATGTGAAGAAGTAAAAGGCAGTAATGATCAGGACAACAGCTACCAAAACAAGGCTGAGCAACGCATGCGGGGATGGGCAACACACATCAGTAACACATGAGGTTAAAAGTACTCAGTGGAGGGGCCAGGCACAGCTCAGCGGTCCAGTGCTTGCCTATCATGCGCAAGTCCCCGGTTGATCCTAGCATCAAACAGTTCAGAACATAACAAAGGAGAGATACTGCATCAAACGACTTCATTTCTGAGCGATTCTGGCTCAGCAGAATTGGGTTTTGTCTCAGGAAAGTGTTTTTCTTAATCATCAAAAAAGCAACCTACCTGGCCCCTCATGACAGACATTTGACTTTCAAAAGTGGCTTTGTCAAAGCTTTTGTCAGTCTATACAGAAAAGAAACAAAACGAAACATTACTTATAATGCCAAAGCTCAAATCCGTGAAACAAATACAAAATTTGAAAACGAACTCTTCCTTGTAACAATGCCATTAGAAAGCTTTCTTAATTGATAAAATAACAAGAAAATAGTATTTTTACTGGATGTATTTTTGTACTCAGGTCAATGAGCAATGAGTTCGAATGTTTTTTGTTCTGGTGGTATGGGATACATTCCCAGCCCTTTGTTTATTTTTCTTTCTTTTTGGTACTGGGGGTTGAACTCAGGACCTTGTGCTTGCAAGGCAGGTGTGGTGCCGCTGAGCTAAATCCCTGGCCCTTTTATTTTTATTTCTTAAAATTTTGAGAAAGGGTCTCACTCAGTCATATGGGCTGGCCTCTAACTTAGGATCCTCCTGCCTCTGCCTCCCAGAATGCTGGGATTACAGGTATACCCCACCATTCCCCACTAGTTTAGGCTTTTTAAAAGAAGTAACAGCAGCTCATCAAACACATACTGTATTATAATTGATAGGGTAATTTTACAAAAGTTTAACTTAAAACAACTCCTGCTGGGCATGGTGACACACACTTGTAATCACAGCACTCTGGGAGGTGCAGCAGGGGGATCTGGAGTTTAAGATCACCCTGGGCAACTCAGTGAGACTCTGTCTAAACACAAAAGATAAAAACAGCTGGGATGTGGCTTAGTGCCAAGGCCTTGGGTTTGATCCCCAGTACTGTAAAAACAACAGCAACAATGACAAAAACTATTTCTCAATTTTTTTTTTTTTGGTACCAGGGATTGAACTTGGGACCTTCCACCTTCAAGGCAGGTGGCGGAACCACTGAGCTAAATCCCCGGCCCCAATTTCTCAATTTTGATGTCATCTCACTTGAAAGAATGCTCATGGTAAATTAAACTACAAATTTATATTCTTGTAAAGTAAACCTGCAAATCCTCTGTTAAGTTCTACCGCAAGCAGTAGTACAAGAAAATGGAAAACATCTCAAATGATAAAAACCATGCTGTGGGATTGCTATAAGTTTAAGTTAAAGAGAAAACACAGTCACGGTGCTGGTTACAGACTGAATGCCTGAGCTTCCAGGAATCCATCTGGGAGGCCCTCCTCTCAGCTCGTCATCTGTGAGCCAAGGTCATGAAGATGCAGCGCTCGTGAACATGGCGAGTGTCCTGATAAGAGGCCCCAGAGCTGCTTTCCAATACCGAGAGGATGCAACAGAGGAGAAGCCAACAGTGTGTCACCCAGACCAGGGCCTTAGCCAGGCCCTGACTGTACCGGCACCTGAGCTTGGACTCTCAGTCTCCAACAGGGGAACAAAGCCCAACCTACATACAGCACTTAACACTCGTTTAACTTTTTTTTTTAGATAGGGTCTTGCTATACTGTCCAGGCTGGCTTTGAACTCACTGCGTAATTCAGGCTGGCCTCAAACTCAAAATCCTTCTGCCTCAATTTTCCAAGTGCTGGGATTACAGATACGGAGCACTATGTCCAGATTCTCATTTAAAATTTGATGTGGGGGCCAGAGATGTAGCTCAGTGTTACAGTACTTGCCTAGCATATGCAAGGCCTTAAGTTTGACCACCAGCACAGCATAAAAATGATATACAAAAATAAAAATGAAATTTAATATGGAAAAACAAAACAATGTGCAACTTCCCCCAAACCAAAACACTCCACCATTATACATTTATTTACCTTAAAAAGTTCATGAAGATCTTCACACAAATCTTGCACAAAGTTCATGTCAGAAATACATGGGAGAATCAAGTTTTTTGTTTCTTCAGAAAAAGGAACTTTTGCTTGAGGAAGCCAAGCCCAGTGAAATGGATCTAATAGAAAAAAAATTTTCTTTTAATCAATAGCAGGAAATGATTTATTCAGACTCCCATTTATCCTGGGTTCTTTCCTACAGTTCCTAGATTGTTCCAAGAAAAGGTCAGGAGAGAGAAGTTCCTAGAGAATAAAGTATCTTCGCAATCCAAATTTAGATTGCAAATTTGAATAGCTGATTCAGATACAAAGAACAGTAATCTCCTATGCTTCTGAGTTTTAGATAGTAGAGAATCAGAATTTGATAACGAATTTACTTCAAATAGCCTTATCTCAAAAATATCTGACTCTATCTGGCTCCAGAGTTTAGAAATTTATAGGTACCCCAAATTCATTCATTCATACAGTCCCAGACTGAATACCATAGCCCCAGGGGGGAGGTCTCCTAGTGCTCTACCACTACAAACCGTCTGCGATGGAGGCACTTTTTATAGGTGTTCTAAAATTTTAAATCATTAGAAAGTAAATAAGTGCCTTTAAGAAATAAATAAAAGTCTATGACTCTGGGTCACTAAGTTGTCAGGTTGGGTGCAAACCTGTGACCTTTCTGCCTCAGCTTCCCAGAGTGCTGTTGGGATCATAGGTGTGCGTCACCACAGCTGGCTAACAGTAGGATTTTAAAAGAAGTGTAATCTTAGATACAGAGACCATTTTTTAAATTTATTATATAAACTTTAAACTATGAAAAAATATAAAATAGTATATAATGAGCTCACACATTCCAAATAACCTAATTTAATTATTAACAAATTTTTGCAAAATTTTGCTTCTCTACATGCCCTGGTTCCCACCTCTACAACTATTTCAAGGTAAATTCTGGATATCACATCATTTCACCCTATGCACAGACAGGATTTTTTTAATTATAAGAGAATGCCACACAAAACACTATACTTATAAATCTTAAATTCAAGGTATCATGGACAATTTAAGCAAAATAAAAATGTCTCAAACTGGCTCAAAATGGAGAAAACCTGATCCCCAACAATACAAGAGACTAGTAAAGCAATTAGAGAACTACCGCACTCACTGAAAGGGGTGGAGGCCTAAGATGCCCTGTGAACACCAGCCCAAACATTAAAGTACAGCTCTTTACAAAGTTGCCAACTCCATTCTCCGGGGCTAACCTATGCCTATAAATCAAAACCAAACACATCATCCCCAAATAAGCAAAAACACACAGAAAAGACACACACAGTCTCTTCGAATTCCCAGTGCCCCAAATTGAGCCCTAATGAACAGTTGCATCCCGTTTCCCCCTGCTATTTGGGGATCTGTTAATTTTGTTTTCTTCCTATTTTGGAAAAGAAGCAATTATAGAATCTACAGGAAAATCTCAATACTCACATGCTCTCCATTCATCTGGATGTTTAAAAGGAAATGCTAGACCATTATCAATTGCCGCTATTTTAATAAGCAGTTCGTTATCATCAACCCAGTTTGATTCCTAAAGACAAAAATGATCTGTTGATAAAATAACCTATATAAATATTTTCAAAGGATAAATTATTTACAATAATTATTGAGGTTTAAGGAGATAGTTTCTCTCAAAACCCCCTAAAAATTGTTGTCAAAAAGAATACAAATTTAACCCAGGAGAGGAAAAGGCTGTTTAAAAACCAGTATGAATTTCATAATCACTATTTTTAAAAATTTACTATGTTTTTCAGTAATGGCCTCATTTTTTGTCCTGTTTGAAGAACAGAATTTGAAAACATTAAAGCTTTAAAAAATGATAATTCATTGTTAGATGCATTCCTTAAATGTGTGATATTTGCAAAATATTACTGAGTTTTTAAGATAACAACTTAAAATTACCCTTCATAAACCTAGTATTTCTTGGAGTCCCATAGAAATAATTAGGTTAAATATAAAGTGTTTCTAAATAAAATTCCCCCAAAGACTATAAGTGAATATAATAAAGTAGTAGAAGGAACTTCAAGATATTCTTGATTACAGAATGTAGGCCAGTCCCTAACTTCTGCATTCTTCTGTAGCAGAAATGAAGAGCTCAGGAGGAAGACAAGGAATATTTTTTGTTATGTAAAGAGTAAGTAGCCTAGCTCAAACAACAAAAAGTGAAAAAGGCAATTTTTAAGTTAAAAGTAGTACTGTGAAGACTGGTGATATATGTCGGTTTCTTTGTTTCATTTAGTTTATACCAAATATCTGACTTCAATGAAAATGCACAAAATAGAGCAAAAGAATGAAGTTTTCAGCAATATCTAGTTGCTGAAGATATACCAATGAAACAAATTTAAGAGCTATTACAAACATGGATGTTTGTGTGTTTTAAGCCCATTTCTTCTATAACCGCTATTTATTTTTATTCCAATCATTCTTCTCTACGTAAAACTATATTGAGGTATACTCTACACATGATGATCTTTAAAGCTTTGACAAACATGAAATCTTCATCCAAAAGCTTCCTTGTGTCCTTCTGCAGTCCAAGCCCCCTGTCCTCCATTGCTAGGAACCACTGGTCTGCCTTCTGTCACTAGGAATTAATTTGCATTTTCTAGATTTTTACAGTAATTCCCCTTTCTGGGCATCTTTTTTTTTTTTTTTTTTTTGCTCAGCATAGTTTTAAGACTCATTAAAATTACTGTGTGTATAGTTTGTTCTCTTTTTTTGATATGAAACAAAATTTATTTTTCTACGTTTACAGCAACAAACTTTTCTTGGAATATTGGTCTACTTTTAATAACAAAGAATAGGCTTCAAAAAGAAAAAAATACTGTTTGTTAAGACATTTAATTACTTGAACTAAATGAGTCTTAACAGAGTCAGAGTTTAAGTGTCTGTTCGTTGAAATGTCTTTTTTTTTTTCATTAAGTTTATTGGTACATTTTAGATATACAATACAGTTACATTCATCATTAGGATCTTGTACCTTTACATGATGTATCTTGGTTCTTATTTAGTTTGTTCTTTTTTAATTGCTAAGTACTGTGAATACACACTTGTTAATTTCCCGGATAAACACTTAAAAGTGCAAATGCTTTAAAGTGATGCAACAGCTTTAAGTAATAAACCTGAGAACACAGAGATTGAGAAGTACCAGAGAAATTAATCTCTTCAAATATTTTCAAATGTAGATAGAGATTATTTTAAACTTTCAACGCTACTCTAAAAATATGTCTTATGCAAATATCTAAAATTTGAATTAGGGCCGGATGTGGTGACGCACGCCTGTCATCCCAGCACTGGGGAGGCTGAGGCAGAGGAGTCCTTCGAGTTCGAGCCCAGCCTGGGCTACACAGTGAGTTCAAGGCCAGCCTGCACTACATAGAGAGACCCTGTCTCAAAAAATGAATATAAATTAAAATAAAATAAAATAAAATTTGAACTTGGGTACTCATAGCTATGAATCTAGAATGTGTAATTCTGATAGTGTTAAGGGTCTGATCAATCTATTACTAAGTTAAAACCAGCTTGTAAGTAGTACATTTTTAAGTTCCAAGGATATGACTCACAGGTCAAACTCACATGTTCCATTTTATCAGGTAATATTGGATTACCTAATACTGAATCACGAAATTCAGAAAAAAGTTAATTAGTAAAATATAAAAATGTCACCAAAAAATATCAGAAGCCTCAGGTAAAAGCAAAAGCAAAGTAAACTGTGTGATTCCACAAATTTCCCAAGCTCTAAAATGTACTGGGCTGGGCTGGCATATCCCTCTTCTATTCTAATACAATACAAAACATAAAGCTTCCCAGAGATGATAAAAAATAGAATCTAGAAATGCAATGAGCTGGGCATGGTGGTGCACCCCATAATCCTGGCACTCAGAAGGCTGAAGCAGGAGGACTGGCCAGTTTGAGGCCAGCCTGGGCTACAAAATCAGTTCAAGGCCAGCCTGAACTACAAAGGGAGACCATGTCTCAAAAAACAAAACAAGGAGGAGAAGGAGAAGGACAGGAAGAAGAAGAAGAAATGCAGTGAAACAAGGGATGGAAAGAAAAAGGGTAAGAAAAAACAGACAGATGATCATTTCATCTACATATAAAGATTTTGCTTCTACCTTGCCAATCCTATCCTAATTGTGTCATTTTATTGCCAGGCTATTTTGGTTTAGGCCTAGGTGTCAAAGTTTAATGGACAGATGAAGAGTAAGCATATCTGCCCTTGTTCCCCACCTTAGGGAGAAAGCATTGTATCTTCTCCATTCATATAAGGCATTTTTGCTGGAAGTATGGAGTACATGTCTGTTATCTGTTGAGAAGGTTGTGTTCTACTTCTAGGCTCCTGATAGCTTTTACCATAAACAGCTGTAGAATTTAGTCTGATACTTTTTCTCCAACTAATGACAGGATCATATGGCTTTCTCCTTTTCTCTGTTAAAATGATGACTTCTGGGGGTGGATCTTCCAATGCTGAACCAACACTGCCATCCCTATAACAAAACCACTTTCTACATACTGCCAGATCTGACTTTTAATAGTTTGTTTTCTTAAACAAATTTCTATCTATGTTCATACCTTTTTCTCCTATTATCTTTATCCAGTTTTAGTATTAGCACAATGTTGATTTCCTAAAATGAGGGGAGAAGTGTTCCTTTTTTTTTCTGCTTTAATGTTTGATATAATTTATCAGTTAAAATGTATATGAGCCTGCTGCTGTCATATAGGTAAGTTTTCAAGCTAGGAATATACTTTCTTTAATAGGTGCTATTCAAATTTTATATTTCCTCCAGAGTTAGTTTCATTAATTTGTCTTCCAAGGTACTTCTTAGAAGTTGTCAAATTTATTTTAAAACAGATTTTCGTAATATGCTTTCTATATCCTTTTAAATTCTGTAAAATCTGTGGTAATGTCTCCTAGATCTTGATATTTTGATTTTTAAAATGTATAATTGATATTGCATAATAGGAAGTAAAGGTCTAAAGGAGCAGGGGAAGTAGGAGGGGTAGGGGAAGGGAAAAGAAAAAATATGAGAAAAGGAAAAAAATGGAAACAAAGTCTTTGCAAGTAGGGAAGGGTGGAGGGGGTGAAGGGAGGTCAGGGGAAGGGGAAAAAAAAAAAAGAACCAAGATACTCTTGTAATGGTACAAGATCCCAATGATGTATGTAACTGTATTTTATACCTAAAATGTACCAATAAACTTAATGGGGAAATAAATAAATAAATAAAACAAAATTAGGATCAAAAATGAAAAAAGAAATCTCTTTCATAAACTGAAATATATGCATATTTTTTACTTGTTTATTTTAAACTCCTTACCTCATGATCAATTTCCTTCTCACATTTCTTCTTTTCATATCTGACTAACCAATTATCATTTCCTCTGTCTTCCAAAAGAAACAAGGAAAAGATCTGTTAGTTCATTTTTAGCAACATGATAGCTTAAGATCAAAGGGAAAAATCTAGTCACTTTCTAATTTTTTGAGACTTCTATTGTTTTTCTGTGGTATGTTTACCATATTAAAGATTCCAAATGAACACAAATAAATTAAAAACCCCATAAATGTTAGGTAACAGTTATTACATTTAACATTTATAAACACAATATGTACAACATTTATATTTGAATGTTATTGTTTTGTCTGTGCCAGATATTGTTGTAAGTGCTTTCAACATTAATTCATTTGATCCTTGTACCATCCTGTGAGGTAGGTACAACTGTTAGATCATGGGTATTAAGATCAAGCATAATTTCTCTTCACCAGAAGGAAAAGCATCTGCCCTTACTGCTAGGCAGATTTCCAAGTAGGCACTGCAGTACTCTAGACTATATAGTAATTTAAATATCAATCCAAGTACATGTTAATTAAGAAGGCCAATCTAGAAAATTACACGATGCCTTCTCAGAAAACATAAAATGAGAAAACCTTTTAACCAGTGGTTCTCATACTTCAGAATCACCAGGGCCCCACCTGCAGAGTTTCTGCATCAATGAGTGTAGGGTGAATCTGAGAAGATGCTTGGATACAAACCCGCTGCTTTGGGTTGTCGAGTCATTGCTCCCTTACAATGCAGAACGAATGAAAAGTTTAATGTACTTCTAAACTACACTAACAGTCACGTATGTCAAAATAAGTATCTAGAATAATTTACACAATCAAGTTTTGATTTTTCATATTATGCAGATAACATTTCCAATGCCTGGCTTTGACAGATACTGGTCCTAGGATCTGGCTTTGTCCTGGTCCTAGGAACAGAAGATTTTCCCCTAGAGGACAGGAACTGATCTCCAAGGCCCAAGAGAGTCTGCTGTGAGTCAGAAGCCCCCCACCCCAGGGAAGATTAACTCTGCCCAGGAGTCAGGTCTGCAGCTATTTTCTAAAACAGGTGGTGGCAGGGGCCTTAAGACTTCTGCATGAAAATGGCTTTGATTTGGATAGCAAGAATCTAGTGTGAAAGCCAGGATTGGAGTGAATAAGTAGAGAATTTCAATACCTGTATTTCTGATGATGTAATCCAAAATAACTAATCTTTCAAATTGTGACTGAAACTGTTTTCTAATATTCTCAGGCAAAGGATCAGCTTCAAATTTCCTAAGCCAATATTCAGCCTCCTTGTAACCTTCAACAAATAATTGAAAGGAACCAATCTACAATTCAAAGAACTACAGTTAGAAAAGAAAGTACAAGAACAAAGGGATTAATTTTTAAATTTCACAGCAGTACTGTCAAAAAATATGTTACATAAACACAATAATAAAAACAGTAACAATAGCAACACTTAATTTGGATAAGGCACATTTATCAAGAAGACTATTTTGACACACTAATTTAAAATAATCACATGAAGAAAACATAGCAAATGAAAAATACTCAACCCTAGACTTTCAAGGAACATAGCAGCTATTTTTAGGATAATTAAAAAAGAGAACAAACGTGTTCTGAGGTGACATTCTTTTTTAATTTTTTTTTCAAGGTGACATTCTTAACAAGAATGCTGCTTTCTAAAAATATTCATTAAGATGAATTTAATTATGTAGGCCAAATTGTATACCAATCCTGGTTATTTCATAGTAACACAATTTTATCTTACTGAAGAAACATTTCGGGATTCTTTTTATAACATCAGATACAGAAAAGAATTTAACTTAAAAATAGGATGGACTCTTTGACTATACAGAACAAAGACCTTCTAATAGATTTTAATGAAGTAATCAATTAATTATAAACTTTATAGTATCTTTAAGAAAAGTCCTTTCTTTGAAGACATGCTCATTTTAAAAAGTATTTTTGTTGCTAAAATTACAAGTTAATATTGAACAATGCACATAAAGATGGAAATCTAAGTTTCAACAGCAGAGGACAGTCAACCTATACTGCCTCACAAACACAAACAGCTTACAGAAAGAAAATCCATTTCTTCTCCTAACATTTTATATTCTTCTGGGCACGAAATTTTTAACAATTTCCTAAAGCTTTTCTTTAAAGCACTTATAATTAATTACTTTAGTCTCCTATAGTCAACATGAATTTCCGCACCTCCAAGGAAGAATAGCCCTTGCAAAAATTTACCAAACCTCCTGCCTACTTGGACTATAATTTTGAAAAAAATTACGTTAACCATTAATTTCTACTTGAATTCTTTTATCTAGATACATGTATAACAAAAACAAAACAACAAAATCATAGGTGAGATATATTTTTGAAAAATAAATCCTAGAGCCCTTTCTAGAATGCCTTTCCCATTAGCCTCTCCACGCTTGCTTAGCTCGCTTTAACCAACCCTCAGATTTATTTAAAAGTGGTAAGAAGCCTGGGAAACTTAATAAGACCCTGTCTCAAAAAGAAAATGGGCCAGCCTGGGATTTAGCTCAGTGGTTCCGGTGCCTGCCTTGCAAGCGCCAGAACCCGAGTTCGATCCCCGGTACCAAAAAAAAAAAAAGAAAATGGACCGGGAATGCAGCTCAGTAGTATAACACCTGCCTAGCATGCTTGAAGCCCTAGGTTCAATTCCCAGCACCACCAAATAAATAAGTAAATAAATAAATTAAAAAATCTGATATGTAGTAACACTGCTACTACCATTTGTTAAATCTTTACTATGTGCCAAGTACTTGACGTGAATTTCTTAAGCTAACTTTCACCGCAAGCTAAGAGGTAGTTTGTGTCACTGCCTTGTTATAGAAACTGGGGTTTAGGGAGTAAGGACCTTGCCCAAGGTCTTGAGCCAACCAGGGAAGAGGGTGGGACTGGCACCTAGCTGGGGCTAATTCTAGACCTGCGCGTTCACCATTATATTACAAAGGCCTCACTGTAACGTCTTTTTTTTTGATACTGGGGATCGAACTCGGGTCCTTGCACTTGCGGGGCAGGCGGTGGCACCACTGAGCTAAATCTCAGGCCCTGTAATGTCTTCTTTTAGAAACATTCCCTGCTCCTTCAAACTCAGGTAGCTATCCTTTTTTTGTTCTGTTTTGTTTGTTTTACGGTACTAGGGATTAAAAACAGAGCTTCCCAAATTAGGCAAGTGCTCTACCACTAAACTATAATCCCAGCCCCAGGCATCCTTCTATCCTCTCAGAGCTCCCTGCTTGCCATCCTATCAACAGCTTTAAGACTGCACTGAAATTGCTTGATTATTGTAAGCTCCTCCTTCCTTTTACTATCATATCCACAGCTCACAGCATGATGCCTTGTTTATGAAGCTCAGGCCCTCCATGCCCAGCTGCATTCCAAGTAAAGCTTAGCAGGCAACTTACCTTGGGAGGGAGTCCTATCCGATGAAACTTTCTACCTACTTTTGGCACTTTCTCTAAGGCATACTTTTTGCCTTTTGCTTTTGCACGGTCAATTGCATTATAGTTAAATGTTTCACTGACGAGCCAAACCACCTAGAAACATAGTTTTAAAAAATGGTTAGAATTTGCATTATAGAATTCCTATTCATATACACTAGCAAATTCATTCTAATGCCGTAAATGAGCAGAGTTCAATCCTGTAATAATCCCAGATGATCTAAAATAGAAAGGTCAGAGGATTCTGAAAAGCTGTTAAGTGGCACATATTTCTTTTTGAGAGAGGTCTAAAAAAACTTTTCAGGAGAAAAAAGTCTTAGAATGTAGAATTAGGAATGACTGTTTCGAAGAAAGGTTTTAAAAAGGGTGCATTCAAGTATAAGTATAAAAAGCTCAAAAAGAAAACCATAGTAGTTTTGTGAGCACATTAGTTCTCTCTGCCTTCAATGAGACTGGAAGACCCCTAATCATTTTCTGCTTTCTAAATATTAGTACTGCTTCCTCCATTAGGATCATCTGATCTCACAGGAATAAAAGTTGTTCCTTTGAATAATTTTGGATCTACACTACATTCAATTTACTAGTTGCATATGATTCTTGGGTTGCCAAAAAGAGACCCAACTTTAGCCTCCACCATGAGGAGATAAAGTACTCACAGATGAGTGGGCTGTGAATCAGAAGCACTACTTGATGAAGACAAATTCTCCTTTACCTTTGTTTTCGGTACAATGCCCAGATGAAGCTTTTCATCTACCAGGCAGGCACCAGCTTCGGAAAGGAATCCCTGGTTAGGAAGCAGGCAACCTCTGCCAAAGCAGCAAGGACAGCAGACCTTGTGGACATATTTGGTCCATTTTGGATTCAGCTGACCATAAGGCTCTTCTGATTTGGGCTTAAACACACCAATAATTTTCTGTAGGGGAAAAATAAAAATCTTATTAGACTACATATATAATTAGACAATATGTATCTTATTAGACTATATATACCCTATTAAACTATATACATGAAAGTATGTGTAAGTATATATATATATATAGCATATATAATTAGTAGTAATCCACAAAATATACTGTGATAAATTGCTACTATGCACCCCTCTATTTAGGCATAACCCTTAAATATTAAGAGATTTGGTTCCAATCACATCTTTACATTCATTCTCATTCAACAACCTAAAATAAATAATCTTTTGGACCATTTGCTATAGATGGCGCACAAGAATCCACTCATTTAAATAGACTTTTTTGTTGTGAAGAAAAGGAAAGCTTCCCAGTGAACAGGGACTAAAATCAGGGAGAGTCTAGCAGCCAGCGGGGAAGAAGGCTGTACTCATGTAGACTGGGGAAGGGGCTACACTCATAAGGAATGCTTATGACTTGATGCCCAGGGATGGCCTGCTCAGGTGTGTGGCAGTCACTGGACTTCTCGGCACCAGGGAGGTTGTATACTTCGTTTTGAGTCCATTTGCCCTACCTACTGAGAAGCTGCTGTTGTTTGCTGAAAGCAGCCTGTTGCTTTGTCCTGTTGGTTTAGGCTGGGCCTGACACCAGCAGTTTACAGTATGTTCTGACAAGTTTAGATCAGAAGAAGGTAAGGACAAAACTTTATGCCATCGAACCAATCATGCTGTTAACCTGATTTCACTTGTTTTATTATTACTGGACTTTTGAGTTAAAATGTTCCACTAATTTTTAAGTGTTTGAAAACCACCAGTGTAGGTTACACAGTATTATTACCCAGTATCTATTGAACATCAAGATTACAGTTCATT